GTAGTTTACTTCAGAAAGCCTCTTTCTATGACTAACCACAAACCATATTTCCAAGACTCCAGTGCTTAGAGGACCCTCACAGGGCCACTGAGGTGGCTGCTCATTCAGGAACTGTTCATGGTGGATCTGCCACCTGCATTTTCTTCTGCTTGCTCAGTGGAGGAGGCAAAGGCAGGCCAGACACAGATCCCACCCTCAGGGAGCCCATGGCACCACCATAAGGAGGAGTCTATTTTGATGAGTGTGGGGGTAGGAAGACGGAAATGGCATGACCTGGCTGCCTGCTTGATTGTGGCACCCAGGAGCAGCAGGGGAAGCTGAGACTCTGGCAGCCAGCCTTGGCAGAAAGTGGAGCACCATCCATGATGGTGCGGAGTGAGGGGATAAGGCTCCCTTTACGAGTCGGCAAATGACTGATCTTGCTCGGGAAGGTGAGCAGAGAGAGTAAGTTGGATTGTGTTATTAGAGATCATCTTCCTTCTTATCTTCACAAGTTTCCTCAGCACTCGTGAATAAGAATCTATTGAGTGCTGGGCATGATGGTTCACGCCTATTATCCTCATCACTTGGGAGGCTGAGGTAGGAGGATCAGAAGTTCAAAGGCAACCTCATTAATTTAGTGAGGCTGTAAGCAACCTGGTAAGACCTTGCCTCAAAATAAAAAATGAAAAGGGATGGGGCTATGGCTGTGGTTAAGCATCCTTGGGTTCAATCCCTGGTTTCCTGGTACCAAGCAACAATAACAACAGAAACTATTGAGTTCTGTAGAATTTTTTCTTTTCTTTTTTCCTTTCTGGTGGAGTGTGTCCAGGAGGGCTGTCCAGGATGGGGTGAGGGGAGCTTTGGATGCATAGAAGCAGGTAGAACTCTAAGGAAGAACTACGGAGGACCCCTGATTTTTAGTAAATAGGAATAGACCATACTCTTCATTTTATAACCAAGCTTAGGAACGAAGTTGATCACCTTGGGTCTGTTAATCACTGTGTCCAGAGTTAACAGTTCCATCTTTGCCAAGAGCCCTATTTTAGAAAATTAAGTAAGGGCAAAGTTCAAAACACCTCCTCCTTCATCTCCCTTAGTACCTTCAGTCTCTCCCAAGCTCAGTTCCGGCTTAACCAGCAATACATTAACTTGGTTTTCCTGCTTATTTATTCTCACTTACTGCCTCTGAGTCATGGTCTCTTCTCTAATGGTTACTGCCTTTGTTACGCATGACCCTTGATAACCATGACCTGACCCACAAGCAGTTCTTTTTTGTTCCAGTTCCTTTATCCCTGCTGAGGACCAAAGGCAGAGCTAGATGAATCTGGAGGCAAACTTCCCCAAGAGTTCAGGAACTACATGAAGATATTTAAATGCCCAAGCACCGAAAAGATGACAGCATTCGCCTCCCTCAATTATCCAAAGTAAAGGCAACATGAAACCAGACAGGAAGTGTAAGGAAGCGAGTCTTCTCACAGTGTCTTCTACTATGATGCTGGTTTGGCAATAGCAAATTCTTCCTGCCCAGACTTCTAAGTCCTTGTCTCCTGGTCCTGGGTTCTGCCTATCTGTTGGGCAGACAACTTTAAATTATATATCTGTGTACATCTGAGGGCAGGTCTATGAGTTTCAATTGTAAGGAAAAGAGAAATCAAGCCGGGGTCATCAGGATGAATCTAAGGGAAGCCAGCATGAAGTTGGTGTCAACCTTAAGAGATTCAGAGGACCCAATAGTCCCAAAAGGGTCAGAGGAGGAGCCAGACAGCAAGGATCTAATCATTTTAAGCTGAATTTACTAAATGTACCTTTTTACTTATTTTGTTATTATAGTCTTTAACTCTGTGAGGTCAGCTTCCAGGTCGTGTTCTTTATCCTTGTTCCCTCTTAGCACATACAGTCATAGGCACTAGAATTCTAGTCTTCCCAGAACATCTGCCAAGTCCCTCCTATGTATTATCTTCTTTACTCTTCATAACAATACTCCAGAATAGGTATTAGTTTAGCTCCTAATTATTAGCTCGTGATTTAGTCACAGATTGACCTAAGAATATGCTCAAGACCACACATTTAGGAAAAACAAAAAAACACAGAGCCAGGATTCAGATCCACCTTTATTCTGCCAAACCCACACTTATCTCTACTAACATGCACCTGGTGTTACTAACATTTAGTTTTCGTTTAGTTTTAAAAAATATTTCCACAAATTGTTAGTTATACTACCATGTATTTTACAAATAAGAGTGAATTCCTATTTTGGTTATCTTAAAAATAAAATAATCAAAGAGCATTCTCTTTTTATTGAAGGACTCTTGGTGCAGTTTTTATAGGAAAGAAGGTGGAATTAGAGGGGACCATCAAAGAAAAGTCAGATCCAAAGATACTGGAGGGATCTTCCTAGACCTGAATTCTGGATCAAGCTTGCCCAGGGATTTTGTGGTTCAGTCATGGAGAGTGACGGAGGATCTGAATATTGGCTGTTGGCTGGAGCCAGTGAAGAATAGAGGCGTCCATGACCCTACGTGAGTCCCTTGTCCTCGCCGTGGTTCATCTACAGTTAGGAACGGGCAAAGGACACAAAACAAAACAGACCAACGGAAGTTCCTACATGGAGAGTACCAGGGGTGGTGTGAACAAGTCACTTAGGAAGAAGGAACTCTCACCTCCATTACTGCAGTCTTGTCTTCAGACGAAGCGCTGAAGCACGTCTCTCTGGGTTCTATTTCGAGGGGAACCTGAAAACCATTCGACTTTGCCAATGGCGCCTTAACAAGTCAGTCTACAGGGGGCGCTGCGAGGGAGACTGCCAGGCTGGAGGAGGGACTTCTGGCCCCAGCTACTTCCGGTGTCTCTGAGCAGCCTTGTCAACGGTGCTCTTGGTTAGTTTGTATCTGCTCCAAAGTCGGTTTATAGTAACGACACCAGCGACCTCCCAGAGGCCTGGATCTCAGTTCAGGGGCCCTCAGCACTAGTTGAGCAGAGTAACCTCCTCAGATGTCTGAGTTTCTGCTTTTGGGGACCCTCCTACTCAAATTTTAAATTTGGTAATTTCCAACTTGTCCCTAACTCCAATCTGAGTGGTAGCTACTTCCAACAGTTGCTATTGCCCAAATAACTGAATGTTGTCACCTCTTCCTACTTTTGCAGTTATCTACTTTATACCTGGTCAAGTTCTTTAAAATAAATTCTTCAATTCAGATATCTGGCCAAGGATGCAGCTTTTGTGGAGTGGTAGTTGGAGGAAATGGGGCAGGTGGTGGTGGGGGAACAATATCAACAGCTTTGAAGAAAGTATTTTCCACACTCTGTTGCCAAAACTACCCCATAGGGTTCTCACTGAATCCAGCAACCCATAGTGTAATCCATTCTTTAAATGGCCAAGAACCTCAGGCCCCCAGACCTCAGACCTCAGAAATTAGTGAGGGAGAGCCACATTCTGGACTCTGTAGGTATGTCTACAACATGCAGATTATTAACAGTCATCTTAGGTAAATGGGATTTTTTTTCTTAATGAAGCAATTTTGAAGGACTCTGGTTTTCATTGATTTTTTAAAATTTTTAGTAAAATAACAATAGAAAAAAGTCCTTGAAGTTTTTTTTTTTTTTTTTTTTTTTTTAGTGTCTCAATCATGCACTCCTAACATGAGGAGTGACACTCCCTAACAAAAGAAGGCTGGGGCACACCTGTGTGTTTCTATGGTTCCTTGTTGGGTGAGGAGGGAAATGCTTTTAAGTTCTTGTATGAGCAGTGATAGGTTCTTTGGAATAGTTTCATGACAGGAGAGCACAGGTAAAAACTGGGTTGTTCTGATCAAAATGCTTGCTTTCTCAGATATTGGTAACATTTTTTTCCTGCCTTACTCACATGCCTAGATGATTCCTGATTGAGAATTTGCTCTTGACTGATTTATGTAAGCTTCTTTCCTTATCTGAGAGTAGGAAGCCAAAAGGTGAGTGATAGAGTCACCTGCTGCTCTACTTTGCAGAGATCCTAAAGGAATTTGCATCAGTCTTGGACATCTTGTGAATATCAGAAAACATATTTTGGAGGTTAGAAAAAGACCAGGGAATATGGTGTCTACATTTGCTTCCATGGAATCCAACCTGTCTTCACTTGAAAACAGGATCACATCCTTGCTTAAGGAGGAAAGAAGCTATTAAAGGTGAGCTTTTCTTTTAATTTTTCCTTTCTTTAGCTTCCCATAAAAGTTACTTCTAAACAGGGTAAAATCTTGTGCTTAGAGATGCAACAAAGAAAAAAGGATGCATCACATTTTGTTTCTATCCTTTCAGAGATTTCCCCCCTGCAATATCTGGTTTTCTTTAGTGGTACTCAGTGCCCTATATTATATTAAAAAGGTTGCTGTGATTTGGTTGAGAAAATATTAGACTTGCAGACAAAAATACTAAGGAAGTCCCATATTTGCTTCTTATAGCATGTATGCTATTTATTTTCTGTTTTTCCATTTAAAAAGAGGCCTATTAATATTACATTTTTAAGTTAGTTGTGAAGATTAAATAGGACAATGTAAAGAGATTTCTGGTTCATTGAGGAGATTCATTAAATATTGTATATACACAGCTATGTTTGTCCCTGTGTATAGATATATTTTAAATTTGATGGACTACCTGAAAGATTACATACCATTTTTGGGATAATATCAAATTGTATTACTTTAAGCACATTTTTAAAAAGGTTGCCTAGGTTCAATATGTGGCCAATGAAGTACATATGGTGAAAAGTATCTTAATATACAGATTGCCAAATAGAAACAAGAAATGTAGTTTTTACTTTTAAAAGGACTTTCAGATATCTAGAACTGGGGCTATGAGTCTGAATTTCATGGATTTTTGTCTCCAGACTTACTGGAAATTCTAGACCTCAGATAAGAACTACATTCTAGGGTAGTCAGGGGTGGGAGGAAGAATAAGGAATGAAAGATGGGACTTCCTTCTACTAATTATACCTTTATGTCAGCGAATGCTTAGTTCTCTTTCCTTTTCTCTCTCCTGAAGTGGAGGTGGAGCTGGATCCTGATCCTGGTGTGGTCAGCTAGTTGTGGGATCAGGATATAGGTCTCCACAAGAAGCCAGTTGTAAGAGGCTCCTAGGCATGTGTGTAATGAGGATATTTGACCAGAGAAGAAATATATTTTTGCCATCAGTTTGGAGTTGCACTTGACATTGCTGGGAACATGTTCATGATTCATTTATAATTGGAGGCATTTTGTTTTGTCCAAGGAGTCCTCTCTCCTCCACCTCCTCCTCCATTGTACACAAACTCTGTCTCTCATCCTGTGAAAATGATTTCATGGAGGAAACTCTCCCGGCATTATCACTTATGGGCCCTTGGCGGTTATATGCTGCTGGCCGTTGTTGCTCTGAGACTTTCTTTCAGATTGAAGTGTGATCTGGACTCCACAGAATTTCAAAGCCAATACTGTAGGGATAAGTTGTACAAGTCCCTAAAGCTGCCAGCAAGGAGGTCCATCAACTGTTCTGGGATCATCCGAGGGGACCGGGAAGCAGTGATCCAGGCTATTCTGAATAATCTGGAGATCAAGAAGAAACGGGAGCCTTTCAATGATATTGACTACCTTCGCCTGACCAGAGACTGTGAGCACTTTAAGGCTACAAGGAAGTTCATACAGTTCCCATTGAGCAAAGAAGAGTTAGATTTCCCTATTGCATACTCTATGGTAGTTCATGAGAAGATTGAAAACTTTGAAAGGCTGCTGCGGGCTGTGTATGCCCCTCAGAATATATACTGTGTCCACGTGGATCAGAAGTCCCCAGAAACTTTCAAAGAGGCAATCCATGCGATTACTTCATGCTTCCCAAATGTCTTCGTAGCCAGTAAGCTGGTTCGGGTGGTTTATGCCTCATGGTCCAGGGTTCAGGCTGACCTGAACTGTATGGAAGATTTGCTCCAGAGCCCAGTGCCATGGAAATACTTCCTAAATACATGTGGGACAGACTTTCCTATAAAGACCAATGCTGAGATGGTCCAGGCCCTCAAGATGTTGAATGGGAAGAACAGTATGGAGTCAGAGATACCTACTGAGTTTAAAAAAAGACGCTGGAAATATCACTATGTGGTGAAAGACATATTGTATATAACTAATGAGAAAAAGGATCCTCCTCCTAATAATTTAACCATGTTCACTGGGAATGCTTATATTGTGGCTTCTAGAGACTTCATTCAGCATGTCTTAACGAACCCTAAATCCCAACAACTGATCGAATGGGTAAAAGACACCTATAGCCCTGATGAACACCTTTGGGCCACCCTTCAGCGGGCCTCATGGATGCCTGGCTCTGTTCCCTTAAACCACAAGTATGACATTTCTGACATGATTTCCATTGCCAGGCTAATCAAGTGGCAGTCACATGAGGGAGATATCAATAAGGGGGCATCTTACGAACCTTGTTCTGGAATCCACCGGCGGACTATCTGTATTTATGGTGCTGGGGATCTGCATTGGATGCTTCAAAACCATCACCTGTTGGCCAACAAGTTTGACCCAAAGGTAGATGATAATGTTCTTCAGTGTTTAGAAGAATATCTACGTTTTAAGGCCATTTATGGGACAGAACTGTAAGATACACTGTTGTGCTACCTGTGAGGCAGGAACATGTGCAAACATGCTATAATTGCTGGGACAATGAAGGGTGGGAATCCAGGGCTTGGGAATCTATGGCATCCCTTAGGATAAGGGGACTACTGTTGGAGTGTAGGTATGTAGACCTGTTCCCTTGCAAATTGCTGCCTTAGGTGAAAGCTGACTCTTCTCCAACAGTTCCTATACTGATTCTAACACAGGGAGGATAAGAACCAGTGTTATTTGGAGATAAAGGAGGAGTGTGTCAGGGGACTGTGGATTTCAGCTGAATACCTGGTGTCAGGTTTTGAACTTTAAGGAAAGGCTGTTCCTAATAAGTCTAGGCTTGGGGGGTGTTAATGGAAAGATAACTTTCCCTTTGGTACTGTTAATTTAAAAATAAATAGCTCCTTATTCAGAGCATTTCCTCTATTTTTTGTCTAAGAAGCCAGAAGTAATGTAAACAGATAAAATGTGTGAGAATTTTCTCATAACTGTTGGTGTCATTTAAAATTTCTAGTGGCTGGCAAGAGAGCCTCCATTAATTATCCCAAAACGGTCCTGGCAACAAGCTGTTTGAATAGCATATTCAAAAGAATGTGGAGAAAGAAAAAAAAAATAGAGGAACAGAGCTATTCTTTTATTATTGTGACCACTTGTTTTGTTTACATTACCAAATTCATAACTTCTCTACCAGGGAAAAGGTGGGGCAATTTTTAAATGGTTTGACCACTCATGTCTTATGAGAAAATCATGGCACTAATTTTGCCAGCCTCACAGTCAAAGAATGTTTCATAACAGATAATAGTCATTTAGATAAAGTTGCATATAATTTATTGTTGCACATTTTTAGTAGGGGGGGCACTGCACTGTTAATTATATTGGGAAGCAAAAATAAATAAGGACAATCAAGCTAAACAAGGATATCTGACTATTCCAAGTGTAAGCCTCTTCAGTCAAAACTCCCTTTTTACTATGTGAATGGAAGTGTTCTTTTTGTGGGGAGATAACAATGATGTGTGAAAATGTTACTTAGGGAAGGTTTCCTTTCTGAAACTCTGGAGATAATTGCTGGCTATGTGTCATTGTAATGGGCAAGGGGTACTACAAAAATATAGTGATACTATAAAAAGACAGTGGCCTTTGAAGATAACACAGCTGATCTGCATACAGTATGTTCCAAAAAGGCTTTTTATATACAATTTGTGTAATTTGAATACTCCCATTAATATGTCATAACGTCATCAATGTGTTTCTACACTTCTGATTGTGATTTAAATAAAGTTTCTCTTAATCAGCAGTCAGCTTCGTCTATAGCCCATGTACCTCTCACGTAGTTCCTGTGTGTGACTCTGAAATTTTGATGTATGTTAGTGATTCCTTTTTGTAAGGTGGTTCTCCATTGGTAGTGGGCATCATCATCCCCAACTTACCTGCTTTGCAATACTGAGTCCTCTTTACCTGCTCCCAGTCTCACTGTGGATATGCTGAAGGATAGTTACAAGTGCAGTGTTTGTGCCCTGTGAGGTCTGTTCCAGCAGTGGTAACTACTGGCATGTATGATATTCCTCAGCCCTCCTCTGAGGTGGATGGAAGTACCACTGTGGGAAGTGGACAGAAAAGCATCCTTAAGTACACTTATTCTGAGAAAAAGAACTCAAGTCTTTGGCCACATAGTCAACTTAAAACTTTCATGTGAAATGTTATAATTATATAAATAAATTTTAAAAATCAACATGTGAACTTGTCATTTGGATTGTGTGTGTGTGTGTGGCAGGGCGGTGGGGGGGTGCAGGGTACAGGGAGTTGTAGCAATTTTCCAAGCACTGAAATTTTCTCTAAAAATATATTCAGGTGAATAGAAAGTGCTCTTCATTTAATAATATAAGGTCTTCATATTATAAGACTTACATTTCTCTGTTTGCTTAGTGTATTTTGGAATTCCTACAGTTAAACCAGCACATATGTTGATTTTTTTCCTTCCTGTGGAATCATACCTGCTTCTTTTAATCTTTCTCTGAAAGGACAAATATTGTAATGAATTGAGCAAGTAGGTTTGTATCATCGTTAAAGGTTTAAATTGATTTGTACCTTTCTTCCTTTCCTTTTTTTTTTTTTTGTTGGTACTAGAGACTGGGGATTAAACCCAAGGGGGCATTTTAACACTTTGTCACATCCCCAGTCCTTTTTATTTTGAGACAGGGTCTTGCTAAGTAGCCTAGGCTGGACTGAAATATAGAATTCTCCTGCCTCAGCCTCTAAGTTACTGGGGTTACAAGTGTGTGCCACCACATCTAGTTTTAATAACTATAGTCTTCTTTTCATAACTCTTATTTTTGTTGCACACACTGATCACTGTAATCTTTGCTCTCTTTGTGAAGTAAAAAAATTTTAACAGGAAGAAAAGACAGTTGATAACTTTGGGCCACATGACATAGTTGGAGAAGTCAAGCCATTTTGATTAAAAATGGAGAGAATAATAAACACCTTGCCCACTTATCTTAATTGACCCAAAGATCTATTCTTATTCTTCCATTTAGGCAGTCATTTACCATGAAGATGAATAAGATACGGGTTTTGCCTTTATGAAGCTTAGTGTACTGACAAGCAATGAAATAATTTATTCATGCATTCATTCCACAGATATGAATTGAACTCTTATTATATACCACACCTAGTTTTTGACACAGGGGATACAGCAGTCAACAAAACATGAAAATTCCCACACTCGTGTCATTCACATATGAGCAGTAAACTGAGTATAAATAAATAATTATTAGAAGAGAAGTGTAGAGAGAAATTAAAGAAGTGTTAGGGACTTTGGGAAGGTAAGGTGGGAAGAAAGGATGCTTAAAATTTTAAATAAGGTGGTCAAAGGGGACCTCAATAAAAAAGTGACATTCGAGCAAAGTTCTGAAGGAGATGAAGGGAATGATCCTTGAGGATAAAGGAGGGAAGAGCATTCTTGGCCAAGAGGAAAGATTTATAAGGCCCTAAAGCAGGAACAGACCTGCCATGTTTCAGGAACAGCAAGAAAGCGAATGTAAATGGAACACAGTGGAGGAAGAGTTAAGAGGGTGGTACAGTGGAGGGACACTGTGAAGGCCTCTGTAAATCATGTGGACTTTTTATCTTCTCCAAGTGAAACAGGACCCAATGGAGGGTTTTGATCAGAGGATCTAATTAACATTTTAAGGGGATGACTGACTAGCTGCTGCACTAATAATCTGGTTGGGAGTGAAGAGTGGAAGCAAGGAGACAATCTGGAGTTTGTGGCCATAATACAGGAACTATACAAGTGTCTTGGACCAAAGGAGTAGCAGAAATTATGGAAGTGGTCAGATTTTGAAAATATTTTTGAAGGTTTAGTTTGAGGATTTGCTGGCAGATTGAGTTTGTTTATGAGAGATGGAGGAGTCAAAAATAACTCAAAGGGTTTTGTCTTGTTTCAAGTTGCCATTAACTAAGATGGGAATTTTGTGAAGAAAGAGTAGCTTTTTAGGGGGAAGATAAGGATTTTGATTTTGAACATGTGAAATTGGAGATGTCCATCAGACATTCAAGTAGAGATGTATAGAGGAATATGAATTCAGGAAAGTCTGGTTTGTAGTGCTTATGTGATATTTATCAGCTTACAGAGCACGTGAAGTCATGAAACTGGATGAGTGCCTATATTAGTCCATTCTCTGTTGCTATAATAAAATATCTGAAACTGGATACTTTATAAAGGGGTTAATTTAGCTCACAGTTTTAGAGTTATAAAGAACAAAATTAGATGGCCCCATAAATGCAGCCTCTGATGAGGGTCCCCTTGGCTATATCACATCATGGTGGATGGCATCATGCTGGGAACACAAGTGAGAATGAGAGGTCACACAGTAAGACAGGAAGGCCAGAGAGGGGAGGGCCTAATCTTATACTTTTAAAACAACCCTCTAGCAGGAACTAACAGAAGGTCTCACAAGAACCACATTAATTCTGGGGGGAGTGCCCCCAGTGACCTCCCATTATGCTCACTTCTTAAAGATTGTACCACCCACCGCAATAGGGATCAAGCTTCCAACATGTTAACACTTAGAGGACACACTCAAACCATATCCAAACCATAGCTGAGCCACAAAGAAGTCAACATAGAAGAGGCCCTCAGATGAATTCTGGCACTTTCCAAAATGCAGAGATCAGAGAGATGAGAATCCAACAAAAGAAAGTTGAAAAGGAGCAGCTATTGAGGGTGGCATTCTGGGTTGAGGAGACAGTGTTTCAGAGAAAAGGGAGTGATGACTAAAACAGAACATGCTGGGAATCACTTAAGGTAAGGATGAAACGATTATTATCTGGAATAATGTGGAGGTGACCTTGATAACATCACCTGATTGGAGGTGATTCAAAGAGAATGTTGGAATAAAACTGGATTCCGTGAGTACAGATAAATCATTTGAGGAGTATTACTTTCAGGGAAGAAAAGGAGAAAAAAAAAGTACCATAATAGAAGGTTAAGACAAAGTTGTCTTGACAATTAGGAAAGTGGTAACATGTCTGTATGTTGATGGGAAAGATACAGTTGGAGGAAAAGATGGGGAATGAGATGAGAGGCTTGCCATGTTAACACCCTTATAAAAAAGAGAGGGATGATCAATGCACAGGAAGAAAGCCTTTTCTTCGATGGAAGCACAAAGAGTCGGCCCACATTAATAGGATGGAAAGCAAAGTGAATGAGCTCAGTTGTATGTGGTGGTGTGGATGTGGCAGTGGAATTTAGTTCTTTTGCTTTTTTATTAAAGGAATTTTTTGGTACTAGGGATTGAATCCAAGGGTTCTTAATTACTGAGCCACATCCCAGTACTTTTTGAGATAGAGCCTCACTAAGTTGCTTTGATTTTGAACAAGCTGCTGAGATTGACTTTGAACTTGTGATCTACCTGCCTCAGCCCCCACATCCCAGTCCCTGGGATTACAGGTGTGTGCATGCCACCATGCCCACCTTTTTCAATTAACATGTTATCCGATATATAATATACATGTGAAAAAAGTACAAAATCCCAAACATATGGCACAGTTTTATGAACACAGCAGCATAACCAGTCCCCTAGAGAACAGCACCAGTACCCAAGGTGCCTCTTCTGTGGTGGAAGTTGCATTTTACATCACCTGAAATAGTGAACAAGGGTTCTAATTGCTCTACATTCTCACCAGCATTTTTACTTTTCTTCTTTTTTGATAGTAGCTATCGTAATGGGAGTGAGGTGGAGGTAAACACTCTTAAAGATGGTTTTATTGTCCCAGGCTGTGTAATTTTTAACAAGTCTGTAAGATCCATTATCTTTGTTTCTGTAAGTACAAGTGTCTTTTACCTCTCTTTTGGTTTTGGTACTGGGGACTGAACACAGGGCACTTATCACAGAGCTACATCCCCATTCCTTTTTTTTTTTGGCAATAGGGTCTTGCTAAATTGCTGAGGCTGGACTTGAATGATCCTCTTGTCTTCCACATCACTGGGGTCATGAGAGGATAACTTTATTCTTTATCTGTAAAAATGGAACAAACTTTTTTCCAAAGTAATAGTTAAGACTACTCAGAAGAATATATGAAATACATATAGCACTTAGTCTCTTATAGAACAGTAATGCTGGCACCTATTTTATAAAGTCCCATTTCTGTGCAGCCAAATGTTAGCTTTGGGTATTTAAGAATGACATTATAAATAACCTACTTTTTCCCCCATCTGAAAAAAGGGAACTATGTGTAGAATAAAGAACATAACATTTAAATAGGTAAAAAAAACTATTTTGCCAAATATTACTACCAACTCTTCTCAAAAGGTGACTTTTTATCCCTATACAACTGGTTAAACAAATGTTTAATTACAGATGAAATGGGGTCAACCACAGAATAGAGAACATCAAAATCCTATTCTTAAAAAATAATAGATAGCCAAGACTTTTAAAATTTAAAATAGTTGGTCTTGATTCATCTATAGTCAGCTGCTAAATTTCAGTCACTCATACCTGGAGCCTGATTTTTTTTTTAAGAAATACCCCATTCTTCATTGTATTTTCCTACTTTGACTAACAAGGGAAACTTCGTTCCTTCACATAAACAAAGATATAAAAAAACAAATGCCACACATTTTAGTAGACTTTTTATTTGAAGTCTAATAGTTGGTCAGATGTAGTTCATTTAAAAATGTACGAAACTTGATCAATTTGGCCAGTTCCAAGAAATAATTTAGAAACTAATTTATGTTGTTTGGAATAGGTTTTTGAGATCATTTAACTTTTCCAAATCTAATTGTATTTAAGTTTCTCTCATCAATGATTAGTTTTATACTTTTAAAAAAGGGAAGTTTCAGGCTGGGGTTGTGGCTTAGTAGTAGAGTGCTTGCCTTCCATGTGTGAGGTACTGGGTTCGATCCTCAGTACCACATAAAAATAAACAAAATAAAGGTATTGTGCCCATCTACAACTAAAAAATATTAAAAAAAAAAAAAAAGAAAAAAGTTTCAGCTGGGTGCCATGATGCACATCTGTAATCCCTGCGACTCAGGTGGATGAGAAAGGAGAAACTCAGATTTGAGGCCAACTCAGCAACTTGGTGAGGCATTGAGCAACTTAGTGAGACCCTGTCTCAAAACTAAAAAAGAAAAGCTATCAGTGGTAGATACC